GCAGCGGTGCAGCAGCGGTGCCCGCAGCAGCGCCCGCAGTGGTTCCCGCAGCAGCGGTGCAGCAGCGGTGCTCACAGCAGTGCCTGCAGCAGCAGTGCAGCAGCRGTGCCCGCAGTCCCCTCGCTCGTGCCGCCCGCTCGTGCCGCCCGCTCTGCGCTCTACCTCTCGGTGTCTGCCCCGGCGGCGGCGCTGCCCGCGCGCGGTCCCGGGGCTCTCGCTCTTGGTGGGAGCTAATGGAGGGTAAAAGTCCAGGAGGACTCGGGCAGCCGGCACCAGGTACTCACTGTGCGCACGCCGCGCTGCGCCCTGCGCCATGCACCCTGCGCCCTGCGCCATGCACCACGCGCCCTGCACCGTGCACCCTGCGCCCTGCACCCTGCGCTATGCACCCTTCACCCTGCACCTTGCGCCCTGCACCCTGAACTCTACGCTCTGTGCCCTGCACCCTGCGCCCTGCACCCTGTATGCACCACCATGCGCCCGGCCGCACAGCCCCGCTGCACCCACTCACGGTGCATGCAACACCAGGGAGGCTGTAGCCGCGTGCAGCCGAGGCTGCAGCCGTGCTCCCGTGCAGCCAGCGGCGCTGCCTGCAGCCGGGCCCGGATCCGGCCGGCCGGGCCTGCATCGCTGCCGCTTTCCAAGGCTTTCCCCGCAGGGAGAGGCCCCCGGCCCCCGCAGCGCCCGCTCCTTCCCGTCCCGCCGCAGCGCGGTGCCGCGTCCCGGCTCCTCGCGGCCCCGCCGGGGTGGCTCTGTGCGCCGGTGGCTCTGCTCGGGGACGGCTGCGGAGAGCCGGAGGCGGCTCCGTTTGGTGCATGCATGCGGCTGGTGCTGGTGCTCCTGCTTGGTGATGGTTGCGGTGAGCCGGAGGCGGCTCCGTTTGGTGCATGCATGCGGATGGTGCTGGTGCTCCTGCTTGGTGATGGTTGCGGTGAGCCGGAGGCGGCTCCGTTTGGTGCATGCATGCAGCTGGCGCCGGTGGCTCTGCTCGGTGATGGTTGCAGTGAGCCGGAGGCGGCTCCGTTCGGTGCATGCATGCGGCTGGTGCTGGTGACTCTGCTCAGGGACGGCTGCGGAGAGCCGGCAACGTCTCCATTTGGTGCATGCATGCGGCTGGTGCTGGTGCTCCTGCTTGGTGACACCTGCAGAGAGCTGGAGGAGGCTGCGTTTGGTGCATGCATGCAGCTGGCGCCGGTGGCTCTGCTCGGTGATGGTTGCAGTGAGCCGGAGGAGGCTCCGTTTGGTGCATGCATGCGGCTGGTGCTGGTGACTCTGCTTGGGGAGAGCTGCAGAGAGCTGGAGGCGGCTCCGTTCGGTGCGTGCATGTGGCTGGCGCTGGAGGAGACTCCATTCGGTGCATGCATGCAGCTGGCGCTGGTGCTCCTGCTTGCTGACAGCTGCAGAGAGCCGGAGGAGGCTCCATTTGGTGCATGCACGTGGCTGGCACCGGAGGCGGCTCCATTTGGTGCATGCACGTGGCTGGCACTGGAGGCGGCTCCATTTGGCGCATACACGTGGCTGGCACTGGAGGCGGCTCCGTTCGGTGCATGCATGCAGCTGGCGCTGGTGCTCCCGCTCGGTGACGCCTGTGGAGAAGCCGGCGGCGGCCCCATTCGCTGCATGCATGCGGCTGCCGCGGGCGCCCTGCAGCGGGCGCGTGGCGCTGCGCCGGCCGCCGCCTCCCCCGGGCTCTGCTCGCGCTGCATCGCTCAGCTGCGCCCGTCCCGCTCCTCGCGCTGCCGCCGCGGCGCCCAGCGAGCTGCAGCGGCGCTCGCCTGCACCCTCCGTCTGCCGGCAGCCGCCGGCACCACCCGCAGCGCGCGGGGACCCCGGAGCCGCTGCGCGCGCTGCAGCGAGCCCGTGTCCACGCGCGTGCAGCGCTGTGGCCGCCCTCCGTGTGATTTGTCTCTCCCCCTCTCTGTCCCCCTGCACCCTGTCCCCGCTGCAGAAGGCAGCCGAGAAGCTGAAGGAGGAGGAGCGCAGGCGGCTGGCGGAGGTGGAGGCCGAGCTGCAGAAGCAGCGGCAGCTGGCTGAGGCGCACGCCGCGGCCAAGGCGCAGGCGGAGGCGGAGGCGCGGGAGCTGCAGCTGCGCATGCAGGAGGAGGTGACGCGGCGGGAGGTGGTGGCCGTGGACGCCGAGCAGCAGAAGCAGAACATCCAGCAGGAGCTGCTGCAGCTGCGGCACAACTCGGAGCAGCAGATCAAGTCCAAGGAGAAGCTCGTGGAGGAGGCCGAGCAGAGCCGCAGGAAGGTGGAGGAGGAGATCCGCCTGATCCGGCTGCAGCTGGAGAGCACGGAGCGGCAGCGCGCCGGCGCCGAGGCGGAGCTGCAGGAGCTGCGGGCGCGCGCCGAGGACGCCGAGCGCCAGAAGAGGCAGGCGCAGGAGGAGGCCGAGCGGCTGCGGCGGCAGGTCAAGGACGAGAGCCAGAAGAAGCGCGAGGCCGAGCAGGAGCTGGAGCGCAAGGTGCAGGCGGAGCAGGAGGCCGCGCGCGAGAAGCAGCGGGCCGAGGCGGACCTGGAGCGGCTGCGGCTGCAGGCGGAGGAGGCCGAGCGGCGCATGCGGCAGGCGGAGCTGGAGAAGGAGCGGCAGATCCAGGTGGCGCAGGAGGCGGCGCAGCGCAGCGCCGCGGCCGAGCTGCAGAGCAAGCGGCTCTCCTTCGCCGAGAAGACGGCGCAGCTGGAGCTGTCGCTGCAGCAGGAGCACATCGCGGTGGCGCAGCTGCAGGAGGAGGCCGAGCGGCTGCAGAGGCTGCAGCGGGAGGCCGAGGAGTCGCGCGAGGAGGCCGAGAGGGAGCTGGAGCGCTGGCGGCAGAAGGCCAACGAGGCGCTGCGGCTGCGGCTGCAGGCCGAGGAGGTGGCGCACAAGAAGGCGCTGGCGCAGGAGGAGGCCGAGAAGCAGAAGGAGGACGCGGAGCGGGAGGCCCGCAAGCGCGCCAAGGCCGAGGAGGCGGCCGTGCGGCAGAAGGAGCTGGCCGAGGAGGAGCTGCAGCGGCAGCGGCTCGCCGCCGAGGGCACGGCGCAGCAGAAGCTGGCGGCCGAGCAGGAGCTCATCCGCCTGAAGGCGGACATGGARAACGGCGAGCAGCAGCGGCTGCTCCTCGAGGAGGAGCTCTCGCGCCTCAAGGACGAGGTGAGCGAGGCCGTGGAGAGGCGGCGGGAGCTGGAGGAGGAGCTGGCCAAGCTGCGCGCCGAGATGGACGTGCTGCTGGAGAGCAAGGCCAAGGCCGAGGAGGAGTCGCGCTCCTCCAGCGAGAAGTCCAAGCAGCGGCTGGAGGCGGAGGCCGGCAAGCTGCGGGAGCTGGCCGAGGAGGCCGCGCGGCTGCGCGCGCTCTCCGAGGAGGCCAAGCGGCAGCGGCAGCTGGCCGAGGAGGAGGCCGGGCGGCAGCGCGCCGAGGCCGAGCGCATCCTCAAGGAGAAGCTGGCGGCCATCAACGAGGCGTCGCGCCTCAAGGCGGAGGCCGAGATCGCCCTGAAGGAGAAGGAGGCCGAGAACGAGCGGCTGCGGAGGCTGGCGGAGGACGAGGCCTACCAGCGCAAGCTGCTGGAGGAGCAGGCCGCGCAGCACAAGCAGGACATCGAGGAGAAGATCGCCCTGCTGAAGCGCTCCTCGGAGAGCGAGCTGGAGCGGCAGAAGGGCCTCGTGGAGGACACGCTGCGGCAGCGGCGCCTCGTCGAGGACGAGATCCGCGCGCTGAAGCTCAGCTTCGAGAAGGCGTCGGCGGGCAAGGCGGAGCTGGAGCGCGAGCTGGGCCGCATCCGCGGCGAGGCCGACGAGGTGCAGCGGCTGCGCGAGCAGGCGGAGCGCGAGGCCGAGCGGCAGCGCGCGG